TTTAAAAAAAGTATTTATAAATAAACTCGAAAGTTGTTGTTTATTTTTTTATTTTGATTATTTGACATAGAATAAATATAAATTAAAATAATAATATTTAAATATATTTTAATTATAGGTAACTTAAATAGCATTTTAGAAATATTTCTTTTGGCTAAGTAAATACTATTAATAATATAAATTACTTGATTGAATTTAGTTTATAGACAATTTTATTAATTAGCTTCACGCGACACATGATTATGTGAATTACAAATGCGCGGCGAGAAGATTTAATATAAAAGAAAATGTGGGAATGCGAACAAATTCTCACCGTTCTCTATCTTATCGGATAGAGAAAAATTCTAGACCAATCATTTCAAAAATTTGCTGCGGGTCAATACATAAATATTTATGGCCTCCGTTCGATCAATTTTTTACAATTAAGGTATCAATAAAGAAACTTTTGCTGTAGAGTCTGCAAAAAACAAGGTCATTACAAAAAGCCACAGAATTCCCTGAACTTGACAAAGATTGAAGAATTTACTGCTTTCATCGTAAATTTTATTAAAAAGTTTCCTTTCGAATCACCGAGGTTTAACACCATTAATAAGATTTAAGCAGGAATTCGACTGATAGTTCGGAGTATCAATCTCCGAAATGGAGCTGGAAAGTATACCATTGCAAAAGGACGATTCTACACAAACAAAGGCGCCGCTAAAGCATGCACCAGTGAAGAAAAATGCAACACGCCGTGCTTCGGCAAATAAGCTGGCCGCCGTTACCACTAATGACTCGATGCATTTGGCTGGGGACGCACGATTGGGTAAAGAGCGAGAATTTAACGAGGCGCAGAAAAATGTTAAATCGGATAACATGCAAGTAAAAACAATCGAAAAACCAGTACCAACCTCGGCAAGTATAAATAAAGAAGAAAAAAAGGCGCGAATGGGAAATTCACCAATTATGCAGCAGGGTAAAGTAAAAGACATTCAACAAAATGTAGGAGAAAAATTAATTAAAT